CCAAAACTTTCATTCGAATATCAAGGTTGCCAAAACGCATTCCATAAAAATTCTTCAGTGTACTGGACCTAGTACCAAGTCTGGTAGATTCACGAATCTTTCTAAAGGAACAGCACTTGTGTCAACAGAAGCGAAATCTATGGCTTCAATTGAAAATTCTATTGATCCTTTCATTCTGGAATCAGCAAGACCTGAAAATCACGGAGAAGAAATAAGTTGCGTTCATGATCAGAAACATAAACCTTTTCCGAAACAAGGACCAACTGCCAATCTCAATCTGCCTTTGAATAAGCAAGGACTACTCCGAGTAGGAAGCAGTATCGTCATATCTGACTCGAATCTTAATGAAAATGAACCAGTGATCTTATCTGGACATCATCACAAAGTAACACCTTTTGGCAGACATTACTTCGACAAAATCAAATATCGAGATCGTCATATAACAACTAGCTATATATATAGATCCGCAGGATTAAACGTTAAGGGGAAACGATTTATTTCGCCAGAGACTCACAAATATGTGACTATAGAAAAGTCAGAAGAGGACTATCTTCGATCACCGTCTCTCCACGTTGGGAAAAATTGTTCTTACCGTTGCAACAACAACAATGGAAAATGTACACGGATGACTATCATATCGTCGGATACTTCCTTTTAAAGAATGAGAAACTGTGCCGTACCCAGCTTCAATTGGGATTTATATATTCTATATTCATATGTGATTTAATCATTGAATAGTGATATAGTCTGATATCAGACGGGGAGTGTGTTGTCTTGGATTCCCTAATTTATCTATATATTTTGTGTAATTATATTCACGATTAGTTAATATTTTTCCGGAGTTAAATCTGGACTTCACTGTGCAACATTCTATTGTTACCGTAGCCTCGCATCCGTCTTTTGCAAATCAACCTTGCCACGTCACATCACTGGACAAAGGACTGTCGCAGGATGCACTCTTAATCACAATTTGTGGCTAACCACAGCGTGAGTAACTTTTGAAATAGTTTAATTGATGCCTTCAAATTGCGCGTGATACATTTAACTGTGCAACAAAAGTATAATTTATCTATTTTTACATTGGAAGTATTTTATTTCTTCATTCTGGACTACGCCGTGTCGGAGCATTGAATTGCTACATCCCGGACTACGCCGCTACTCATAACGTATGAATCATTAACTTTAATAATATTATTTAACACATTGTTAAATTGTACTTTATTTTGTATTTTCAGTTATTAACCATTTTTGGATAAGTGATAGAAAAAAAGTCAGCACCTGATTGTTTTATCTCTTAGTAAACCCAATCACCTGGTTTAAACTGACTGGTCGAGCCAGCACAAACAGTATTGTAGCTGTAATTAGTCGCTGTTCCCGCAAGTATGAGTGTACAGTGATTTGTGCAGATCACAATTCGGATCAGATATACTTTATAATTTAAGCCTCAGCGAACAACTATAGGTTGACCTTAAGATATATTTGACTTGTAAATTGAAAATTGGGTGATGAAACTTGTGTTAATAACATTATGAACAATGATTTGGTAAAAAGCATAAGCGTGTGGCAAAGTATTCTAATATTAGTTTAAACATATTTTATTGTTCAAAATGGACAAATGGATATTAGATACAAGTTTTTCAACTTAGTAACGCTTTCTCCAAAATTCTATCATAATTTCAGATACAGAGAGGATGGATTCATAATATATCATTGAACATCGGATGAAATTGAAGAATTTATTCGTCTGGCAAGTATTGAAATAATAGTTTTCACATGAATTATACATTTTTTATTTTAGAAACGGTACATGACATACAGGTAACAGCAGCTTACCTGAAGTACTCACCTGGCAGAATGGGAAGAGTGGTCGGAAGAAGAAAGCTGTGACATCAACTGATGGAGCAGCAGACATCAATAGAAATGGAGCAGAAAATAGACATTTTTTTTTTTAAATACCACATTAAAATATGTAGATTCATTCAATTATTTATTGTTTTGTTTCAACACTTATTTCAAGTGTTCAAAGCTCATAGTTCTGCTTTTTAGAACTAAGCTAATTGATATTTGTTGGTTTCTCCTATATTTACTTGGCAAAACCTTATATGTCCACTTCAGGCTCTGCATATCAAGTCAACAATATAATTTACTGGTCAAGCCCGGACAATGCGACCATTTTTGAACTCCTGGTCAACAGCAGATTGATGTGCAAAGTAGTTGTGGAGACATGAATTATAAGGTTACCAGCCTTAGTTGGAAGGAATGATTTTCTGAGGTTTTAAAGATGTTGAAGCACTTATTCAGGACGTCAACTTGTATGAATTATTGTTTCATTACCTTAAGTTGTCCAATTTAAGAACGTTAATAAGGATTTACTTTGGTCTTTAATTAGCTCTGACGACATCTGAGGATATTTAAAGAGGTTAAATAGTGGTTGTTATGACGTTAATTAGACGTTGTATAGATATATGAGGATATTTATAGAGGCTTAATGGTGGTTGTTAGGATGTTGATTAGACGTTGTGCAGACATCTGAGGATATTTAAAGAGGTTTAATGGTGTTGTTAGGACGTTGATTAGACGTTGTACAGACATCTGAGGATATTTAAAGAGGTTTAGTTGTGGTTGTTAGGACGTTGATTAGACGTTGTACAGACATCTGAGGATATTTAAAGAGGTTTAATTGTGGTTGTTAGGTTGTTGATTAGACGTTGTACAGACGTGGAACATCCTTATTCGAGTTCATCCTGTTGGTTGATCTGATGTTGTACCAACGTTGTACTGATGTTGTAACTACGTTGTACAGACGTTGAACGGACGTATGTCAAGACGTTGGAACGTCAGTTTTAGACGTCTAAAAATTTTCATATACAACCAAAATCTAACGTAGGCGTAACGTTAGGGTCTGACGTCGAACTGATGTATATACAACGTCAAATGTCTGCTGGGATATTGGTTCGGGAATGCGGAATAGGGTATTTCCCTTTTGGACGGTATTTGGAGCTCGTATTTGTGTTAACTGGTTTCCTATTGGTTGTCTAATTATAAAAATAGGCCGAAGATTTCCGATGGCCAGAAATAGCCGACAGCACTCTACTTAACAATAAAAGAATTGATACTTTTTACAAAATGTCTTATTAAATAATATATTTTAAAATTTTAACTGTCATGACCTACGAATATTTTACGGTTCAATAATATCCAATGATTAAATGGAAATAAATGAAGGTCGTTTCATACTTAAAATAAAATGCTACGCTCTTTCGAACATGTATAATATATAAAAATAATCTACGATTTGGAAAGATAAAGCTATTCGAAACAAAAAGTAGGATCAAGTCTTCTAGAACGCGTGTTACTCTTGAGTAACTCTTCTTGTCTTACATACACATTTTCATTATGCAACGTAAAGTGGAGTTTTGTCTAATTTACCTCATTAACTTAAGTGAACACATGCATGGCTTGTATATTTTCAAATCTTACCTTTTCAGTAAAAACAAGTCGTTCAAAACTAAAAGCAGGAAGTCCAGTCTATTAATAGTACACATTTACTTCCAGTTTCTTTTTAAAGTCAGTGACTGTTTTGGGGAAACGAAAATGTTAAACGTCTTTCAAGATATACTGCCTATAGTATGTATAGGTCTAAGTGGAGAAACTACGATGTGAAAAATTCGATTCAATGTTAACATTCTTCAAACAAGTATTCAAATCAATACCAACACTCTTATCTGCATTTTCGGAAAGTCGTCTTCGCCAATTGGTGCACGCTTACTTAGAATAAAAGCTGGTTTTTTTTTCCAAAATGTAAATTTATGAATAGTGTTCGTTTGTAAAGGACCGTGCAATATTTATAAGGCAGGTAGGACCGGTGCAAATTCTGGTTATAACATAAAAAATGTTAATGTCCTTTACTGATTTGGGCTGTAAAAACTGAATGTTTGATGATTTGAATGCAGGAAAAAGTATGTGTCTTATTAACTTTATCTGAATTATTCTGGTACTAAGTGATACATTGTAGGATGTCCTTAGTGATGGTTGTTTTTTTTTTTTTCTGTAGTAATAAATTATAACTGTTTTTGAATACTGTTGTTAAAGTATGTACATGATCAATAAAACAAAGAAAAAAGACATTTTAAGATTGTACTTAAGTGAAATTTTAAAAATCTGGAATTTGAAATTGATACTATAAAACAGCTCAAGTTTAAAAGGAACAGATAAGCTTAAAATTTTGATAGGATATGGAACTCCTTTTCGAGATATTTAATATTTAAAAAAAGGGTAGAAAGCTTTCTTTGACTTTTACCTTATATTTATCATTGACATAATTGGGCTTCAAATCGTAAGAAAAGATATCTAGAATCTGCTTTAAGTAGTAGTAAAAGTTCAATGATTAAGTTAATATTGATATTAAAAGATCTTCAAACAAAAAGGGATTTGAACACCCCTTTTTGTGAGGAGGTCTTTTAATGTCAATATTAACTTAATCATTGAACTTTTACTGACTTACAATTCGTCAAAAACATAAGAAAAGAACACAAAAAACCACTTGGAGAAGCCTAATTCCCCTGAATTGAACGAGTCTAAATATATTCAACTAAAATGATAGTTAAACAGTATTCAGACTGATATCATCACTAGCCAGTCAACATTGATGTTGTGAGAAGTGCGCCTGTGAATGTGCGCTCGACTCCATTTTCAATTGATTACGATAACCTTTTTTTCTACCGAAGGTCGATCGTTCATGCATCCCGCTACTTCCATCAATAAAAACTGGCCCCCACAACATAGCAAACAATGCTGAAGTGGCGTTAAACACCAACAATCAATCATAAATAAATCAATACTATTGACTTAGATATAAGAAGATGTGGTATGAGTGCCAATGAGGCGACTCTCCATCCAAGTCACAATTTGTAAAAGCAAACCATTTTCTTTCTTTCAGTATGTCAAAAGAAAAAAAAGAAATACAAACAAATTTCTAATGACACCACTTTAGAAACCAAATGGTTGTCCAGTTGGTAAAAGATGCTGGTATCTCTGTGAGAAAGGCTGCTTTGGCATATGGTATCCCTAGATATACAGTACAGGACAAGGTAAACAGGAGGACTGAAATTGCACAACGGTCTGGACCTAAAGCTGTGATATCTACGACAGAAGAGTCTAGGATTGTTACATGGTGCATAGAAATTGGAAAAATAGGGTATCCAAGAACCAGATTTAAATTATTGCATAAAGTAGAGAAAATTTTGGACGGCGATGGCAGACAAACCAAGTTCAAAGACATTCTTCCTGGCAAAGATTGGTATTATGGTTTTAAAGCTCGTCATCTAGAAATTTCAGAGAGAACACCCAATGATCTTAGAAAGGAAAGGCCCATGGTGTCACCTTTCAAGATAAAGAATTGGTTTGAAGTCTTTTCAAAGTATTTGAAGGAAGAGGTAGAGGGTGAAATGGAAATCCTAAGTGACCCATCTAGATTATAGAATGCGGATGTAAGTGGTTCTCCGCTATGTCCTAAGACTACATTGTGGTAAAGTATCAACAATGAGTGGACCAAAACAGGTTTATAACTTCTCTAGCTCAGATAAAACCCAAATCACTGTACTTGCGTGCACTAGTGCAACAGCCCACTATTTACCTTCAATGATTGTTTATCCGGGAATCAGATTTGAATACAACCCGGTTGAAGGTTTTGAAAATGTCATACTTGGCAGAAGCATTAATGGTTGGGTGGATTCAGATCTTTTTCTTACTTGGCTTCGGGATACTTGTGTTCCACACATTAAAGCAAGAAAGGTTTCTCTTCCAGTAGTTTTATTTGTAAATTGCCACTTTACACGCATCAGTTTAGAGGTCAATAAGTTCAGTATAAAGGAAAACTTCGTGATGTATTGTTTGCAGCAACACGCAAGTCATATCATGCAGCCTCTAGATTTATGTATGTTCTCATCCTTAAAATATAATTGGAGGAAATCTGTCAGAACTTATCAGATGGAAAATCCAGGTGAAACGGATACAAAAGCAGTTTTTGCAAAGGTGTTCAAATCAGCATGGGACATGTCAGTTTACGTAGAGAATGCTGTAAAAAGAGGCAGGACTTTTCCCTTCTATAACTGAAAATCCAAAACTTGCACCAAGCTGTTTATTTCCAGAGGTAAAGCTAGATCCATTACCAGTCACATTCTGCATGCAGTTACTTCTACCTTTGATGACAATGCTTCCATTGTAAGTACTGTGCTTCCTACATGTCCTATTGAGTACATCTCGACTGCACCACTATCGAGTGAAATTGGAAATATGTCCAGTGTGCCGAGGCAGAAGAAGAAGCTAGCATCCCCACTTCCAGTTCAATTGCTCCATCAATTTCTGTTTCAAAAGACTGCTTTGGTAAATTCTTACAATTGCAAAAGGCAAAAGAGACGTCTTCAAGAAAAAAAAAGTATGTTCAATTGCCCAAAGCTTTGTCTGATCTTCAAATAAATAAAATTCTGACAGAAAGGAAAGGGAAAAAAAGCACGAAGAAAGAGAAAAGAAAAGAAGAAAGAAAGGAAATAAAGCGACTGAAGGAAATGAAAAGTTTGGAGCCAAAACAAGGAAAAAAGAAACGTAAAAATAAGGCTACGAACAATGGGGAAAATAAATCCTGTGGAGAAAATAAATCCTGTGGAGAAAATAAATCCTGCTACAAATGTGAAATTGAAATAAAAGTTATGTTGACTTCAATTAAATGTGACAATTGTGAACGTCTCTTCCACAGAGCGTGCGCAAATTTATCGCAGTGTGGAGTTTTGAAAGGAGAATCATACCCAGATTACTCGAGTGTGAATTTTGTATACTGATGATGATGATTGTTGAATTCTATTTAAGTTAATAAATTATTGAATGTTAAGATGTTTCCAATAAATCTCTACTAAAATATATGAAATGTTAGTAAACGTCAGTTAGATAGTAATCCAATGCAAACAAAAATATGGAATATCTACACATTTTTGTTCACTAGGTCATTTGAGATATGGCTAATTCTTGACTTCCGTCCCTCTGTCTCGGTCATTAAAAAACAGCTTTGTGTGACACACTCACACTTTTAAAACAGTATAGATAAGTAATTAAACTCTTCAGATATGTTTATAACGAGGTCCTTTCCTGGTGTTAATAAGAAATTATAGCAGTTGTGTTCGTCCATTTGATTAAGTCTATTTAATTTGTTTTGGATTGTTGTATTCGTGATATTATAAGAACAATCGTATACACATTTTTTTTTAAGCGTCTTGACTTTGATATTGCTACCATATCTATTCCTTTCAGGATTAGATATGTCTTTGAAAACCGTTGTAATTCCAATCATTTACATCACTTGGATCATGTTCTACTTGCCTAAGAATCCTGTTATAGGGACTATTTTTCATGCCAAGATAGACAGAAATAATAACTATGACACAAAAGCAATTAGTAATTATAGTAAAAGTTGAATGATAAGTCTGACTCCATTTTCAGAAAACGACATCTGTAACAAACATAAACTTTTAGCTACCGCTTTACAAGCAGAACCAAATACAATGAAAGTCCCAACTATGTATTGGCTTCCGAAGCTACACAAAACACCTTACAAATATAGATTCATTTCGTCTTCAAGCCATTGTTCCACTACTAAATTGTCTATTCTTCTTACCAGTACACTTGGTACAATCAAAAACCTGATAATAAATTGTTCAAATAAGGCCTTCGAAAATAGTGGAATTAATTACTTTTGGAGTGTCAAGAACTCGTTGGAAGTACTTGATAAATTGCATGCATATATTGGTGATTTTGAATCTGTTCAAAGTTTTGATTTTTCTACCCTATATACCACATTTCCTCATATTCTCATTAAGAAAAAATTCACACATCTAATTAAATGGGCATTTAAAAAGTCAGAATGTGAATATATATGTTCAAACTCTTTTAGGTCATTTTTTAGTAGCAATAAACAAAAAAACTATGTCAATTGGACATGCTTTGATACTATATATGCCCTTGAATTTTTACTAGATAACATTTTTGTTCGCTTTGGAGATTCCGTATATCGTCAGGTTATCGGAATTCCAATGGGGACTAACTGTGCACCACTTATTGCGGACCTTTTTTTGTATTGCTATGAGTTACAATTTATGACAAAAATCAGCAAAGACCCATCGAAACAACATCTGATACACAAGTTTAATAATACTTTTAGATATTTGGATGATATTTTGGCTCTCAATAATGACGACTTCAGTATGTATACTAAAGAAATTTATCCTGTTGAACTTACTTTAAATAAAGCTAATACTAACAATGACCACTGCCCTTTCCTCGATCTTGATATCTATATCATTAACGGAAAGCTTAATACTAAAATATATGATAAAAGAGATGATTTTTCATTTCCTATCGTTAATTATCCATTTTTAGATGGTGACGTTCCCTTGTCACCATCTTACGGTGTTTATATATCTCAACTTGTACGATTCGCTCGTGTATGTAACAATGTTTTAGATTTTAACGAGAGAAATTTATGTATTACTGAAAAATTATTACACCAAGGTTTTCGATGTCACAAACTAGTCAAAACATTTACTAAATTTTATCATCGGTACAGTGATCGGGAAGGACGTGCGCCTTGCGCCAATTGCGCTTATCGACCAGAAATGGCGCATAAAGTGACAAATGTAAGCGCCCGCGTGGCGCATGATATTTTTCACTTCGTTTTGAAACGTTGAGATATCGTCAAATGGATTTCCGATCGTATTACGTGCCGCCATGTGTGAGTACACAACTGTGTAGTGTTTACTCCAATGATAGGAGCACCTATGTATTTTTGGACGTCTCGGGTGTTTTCCTATGGTAATAATAGCAACAAGCGGTACCCAAACAGAAAAATAAATGAACAAATTGCTTTCAAATCGTATTCAAATCTCTTTCAAATCGTGATTCTGCGATTTGTTAGTACCATTTGCTTGTGATTCATTAAACAAATTATAAACAAATCAGAATTTGCCAAATTCCCTAAAACTGATTTCTTTGTGATTTCTTTCAATTGTATGATTTGTAAGCAATTTGTTTCTGTTTTTGCGTGATTTCTTTATGATTTGTTTACTTAGAAAATTGTATGAAGTGATCTGAAAGAGATTTGTTAACTTTGTTAGCCAAAATGATGTGATTTCGTTATGATTTGTTTACTTAGAATATCATATGAAATAATTTGAAAATGATTTGTAACTTTGTTAGCTATCATGATGTGATTCATTGATGATTTGCTACAATGAATAAAATGTTAATACATTCGAATTTTCTTTGTTTATCTATCTCTCTGACTTCCGGTTGAGATCAAATTCAAATTTCAAATACTGTTCTACATTAACTGAACAAAGAAGGTTGCAAGATGAGGAGTTGTACTATCAATGATGAGAGTGGTAAGGAATCTCAGTTATTTATTTATAATTTCACACATTCAATTAATACTATTTAACATGTAAAAGGTGTGAAATTTTTAAATTCAGAAACTGTGCATTTAAGTATCTCGATTTAATTTTGTACTGCCAGGATTAATTTTCAAAATAAAAATGTGTAAAAGATGTGTAAACAGTTCGAGACATGCAATTAAAGACTAGCTTCCCGAGCCAGCAGACAAAATTCACTGGCAAGTTTCATGTTTTAATTTTTCATGTTTACTGGCCAGATCCCGGGCAGTAGGGGCAAAGCTACATTAGCAAATTTGGACCAAGACTAAGACTCATCACCTATGTATATATATTCGACATGCATCCTTAAAGTACACGTGGTTGCCCAAGTTTTGTCAAATCTCGTTAGAGTCAAATTCGGAAGAGAAGTAAGAGAAACCTAAACAGAGGGAACGATTCGTCCCTCATCGCAACCAAAGATAGTATTCCTTTTTACAATTAGAGGAGTAGCTAAGGTAAAATGAAGACAAATGCACTTCAAAGTTTGTGGGTAGTCAGGGGCAGAAAATATTTTTGATCTGGATGTAAATGATTTAATCTGTGAATTGATGATTGATCCAAATTTATTGACGATTTACTTGTGATTTGCTTGAGGTAGAAATATATGATATACTTGTGATTTGTTAAAGATCATTCTGATAACAATTTGTTTATAATTTCTTCATAATTTGAAAACAATTTGTTTGTGATTTGCTTGAGGTAGGAATATGATTTACTTCTGATTTGTTAAAGATTTGATAACAATTTCTTTACAATTTATTTACAATTTGAAAACAATTTGTTTGTGATTTGCTTGAAGTAGGAAAGCAATGATCTCTGATTTGTTAATGATTTCAAAACAATTTCTTGACAATTTGTTTGTGATTTGCTTATGAATTGGAAGCAATTTGTTCGTGATTTGTTGTTGTGATTTGTTAGCTCATTTGCATGTGAAATTTTATCACTTTCAAATCATAAAGAAATCATACGATTTGGTTATCATTTATTACCATGATTTGTTCCTCAATTTTTTTTGTTTGGGTATGACTGTTTACCCAAAAAACGTAATTAACCATCATTAATGATATAATTTTTTATAAACAACTTTAAATTTGTGAAAATTGGCTAGTACAAGCGAGAATTCTTCCCTTATTATAATCTTTTAAGTAAGCTTGCTATTATTTCGACTGAAAAACCCAAAAGTATTTGTCTCCATAAAAGGGACTTACCTGTCCTTGTCAATTTTTTTGGTCTTTGTCTCGTTTTT